TTCTTTAACAGAACACATAAACTCAGTCAATTATGATATATGTATATACAAGTTAAGCCAATTAAGGTAACAAAATGTAACAAGAAATATGTATAGACATGTATTGTTAATTAATTTTCATTGCATGTATTGTGCAATTAATTGTACACTGCTCTAGAACTACCGTTAATCGTAGTATACTTTCCAGAGTGCACAAAAAAAAAAGCTAACAAAACTTACCACCCAGAGTTAAATCCCCGTGCTCATCAACAGTTGTGAGATTCTGATATAAAAATGACACTTGAAAGTTTCCATGAAAGACATATGAATAGAAATCATCATTTTCGACCTGTCTAGTTTTGCTTGGTTTGAGATATCTCTCTTCCTTTCGTTACATGCAAACTCGTGGACACACAGACTGAGTGTTGACTATTAAAACACTCCTGCTTTGTTCAATGTCATAACAGATTTTATTTTAAAAACTTGAAATTTAATGAACGTCTGGGTCTGCCGATACTCGAAGCCACTTTAAAGAGTAAGTTTTTCTAAAAACGATATACTTGTGATTGCAAGGTATCTTCAGATTTGGCTGATTCACACCATATATGCAGAAATGTGTCTTGAGTTTACTGTAAAAGTTTCAGTCATCCGCTCCTCAAATTTCCTGTACTTTGGGAGGACCGAAGTACATAATGACATCAAGGGTGATAAAAGTAAAGTTCAGGTTATTTCTTTAACGAAGAATATTTTTCTGAGACAGCTGAGGTGAAAGGAGTGCGGAACTGAGTGCCGCGTCTGAATATACTAAAAAAAAATTTTTTTATTAACTACCTGATCGATGTACCTTACCTTATAGGGTCAAAGAGTGACATGGTAAGGCTAAACTCATGCGCAAACGAGTTCAGACGATGTGTGTTAGGCCAAAAGATTCTACACTCAACCGTGCATATCTCCTGTGAATAACTATTGTGGTTAATTGCACTGAGCCGATAAAAGTGGCATTTTGTTTTTAGGCCCAATCGGCCAGTTTATTGGCTTTTTGGATACCCTAAAAGACTATTTTCCGAAGCCTAAATGCATGTCAGTTTTGCATCAGACCGGATATGAATTAATCTTTTTAGTTGGCAATAACAAACAAAAGATCGAAGAGCCAAATTGGAGTGCCCGTTTTTGACCAAAAACTGTATTTACCAATTCTCTTCAAAATTGTGTTTACTTTTAAGTCAAAGATAGGATCATTTTTGAAATCAGCATCAAATTTAGTATCGAATAGTATATCGTAAGTGGGTATTTGACACACTTTCAATTTTACGACCATACGCTAGAGACCTGATATCAGACCTTGAAAAAACCGACAATTGTATGTCGAATCTTAATTGGCACCATAATACATCATTTGACTTTAGTAATTATTGTTAATACTATTTGATATTTGAGGGTACGCCTGCCAGGCAGGAAACGCGCACAATGTGCTTTCTTTCCTACCTTGTACAGCCAGATCTCCTTTATGTATGTTCCCTTCTCAACTGACAATAATCGCCGTACGTATGATTATTTATCGTACCAAAATCACCCTGTAATTCATATCTTAGACGACCATATCTTAGCCATTTCATATATTTTTCCAATGAAATAATACGTGTCATTGTCGTTGTATTAACTGATGATTTACCACCCCAATACAGACAGTCAGCCGTAAAAATTGTGCTACTCGTGTTAACTACTTGTGCGCGACCCGTTGTTATAAAATCTTTGAGAATCCAGTTGTGGGTAAGGGAAATGGAACTATTCTTTGTCCAACCATCATCCATCGGTGATCCAATGTCATTGACATTCATTAAACAATCATGCAAATTTTTTGGTTCTGGAACAATTAGATTCTGATTTAATGGTGCTTCAAGATAGAATGTACCATTTGGTAGCATAGTTCTGTCTAATGAATATGCCCCCATTAATTGTGTTACATTGATTGTAGCATTCCTTAAATTAGCTCTTGTGAAATCGACATCCATAAATGTTATATCAGTATTATATTCAGAAAGAAATGGTATAATAATGGAATTTTGTAACGATGTTTCATAAAAGCGGACCCTAAGCAGGATTCCACCAACAAATGTTGAATACTGTAAATTTGTGCCATTGAAGTCTGTATTAACGATATTAGCACCGGTAAAGTCGCTTGATTCTAAATTTGATAAACTAAAATCACAACCGTGGAGTTCTATATTACGAAATGATGTATTCTGTAACTGTACATTTGGTAAATACAACGAAAATTGAAAACTGATAGCGCCTTCTTCATAATGTATTTTACGACTTAGCGAACTAAAGTCAACTGAACTGAAATCAGCACCGTTCAAATCTAACAGCTTTTTATTTAACTCTTTTTGACTATTATCGATTAATTGCGCTTCATAAAGGAATTGAAAGATAAAGAATTTACGCTGTAAATCTAGTTGACGAAGTGTGGTTAAGCGGGTATCCAACAAAAGATGCACAGTGAAAGAGGAGGGAGATGGGTGTTTACACTTACAACAAAGCCTTGAAGTGGTTTCAGACAGTTCCTCATGCGGAGATATAGTTCATAGCTAGAGCTGTTATATTTTTTGTTCCACCTTCGACGGCGGCGACGTGACCTTTTGCGAACTTTTTGGGAAAAATCTGTATTTTTCTGAAAGTTTGTTTGACTGAAGTTGTTGTGGCGATGATCAGTCTGGCCGGAAGACCTTTAGCTTTTTTTCCATAAAATCTTAATAGTACATTCGGAAGACATGATTTTTTTATCATTTATAGTACTCATCTAGAGTGAACGATTTACCATCATTTCGACCATATTCCTTGTATAAAATCAATATAACGAAGGATATGTTCGAAGCTCCGTAGCTAACTTTGAGACAAGTTATTTTAAAATTTAATAATACATATGAAATTTGCTTTTTAACGAGAAATAAAGACAAACTCATTCTCGCTGTTTATAGAAAACCTCGCGGTGGTGAACTTACAACCGAAGATAAAGATTTTAATCGAAATATCTATTCCGCAAGAGCAGCTATTGAAAATATCAATCAACGTATGAAACAATACGCGATTATAGGACATGTTTACCGAGGATCTTATGATGACTTCGACAAGATTACTAAAATCGCACGCGTAGTTTCTGCTCTTTGTAATCTTAATTTGGATAAACATCCTATTCGCAAGGATTGATTCTATTAGATCCTTTTTTGAAATCTAGTTTTGATCCTAATAGATAAGGAGAAAAATCACAGTGAATAATTCTCATAAAAATTGATTTAACAAAAGAACTTCCGAAGCACTCTTCGTTATATTGATTTTATACAAGGTATATGGTCGAAATTATGGTAAATCGTTCACTCTAGATGAGTACTATAAATGATAAAAAAATCATGTCTTCCGAATGTACTATTAAGATTTTATGGAAAAAAAGCTAAAGGTCTTCCGGCCAGACTGATCATCGCCAATTGATAACTCGAATAAACGTATCATCACAGAACTTCGAGAAAAATGTGCAATGGATGAGCACAAAAAACAAGAACTTAAAGCGAAAGCTGAAGCTGAAGAAAGACAAAGATATGAAGCAGAAGCAACGCGACACCGTGAAGCAGAAGCTCGACGTCAAGCTGAAGCGAAACGAGCGGCAGAAGCTGAACGGCGACGTCATGAACAAGCAGAAGCACATGAACGATATCGAATACAAGTAGAAGCGCAACAAGCAGAAGCTCGGGAACGAAGAGAAGCAGAACGTCAGGGAGAAATAGCACAACGACGCCTAGAAGAAGAACAAAAAAAATCAAAATGTACAATTTCGTAACTGTTTGATTTCACTATCATCCTTCAAATCAAGATACAATGTGTTCCAGAACTCCTTTTCTAAAAATTTTTCTGGAATATCTTTCTATTTTATTTCACTTTATTAATTTTTTCTTTTTAATGATAGATGGAAACAACAAGATTTTCTTTTGATTTGAATGAGTTTCAAAACTGTTGCCAAAACCTATCATCTTTCATTGAAATACAGAAAATTAGTCATTTTTGTTTTTCAGAAAAACGTTTTTATCGTTTTTTTCTTTGATTGCATGCATGTCTTGAGTTATTGTAATATTTAAAACAGTCAAATTTTTAAGATTGAAGTAAAAAGACCCATTTAGATTTCGGACTCTAAAAAATACGTGGGCCTTTGATTGATAGTTGTGACTACTCTAGTCAAAAAATAAAAACGTGTGTATGCTCTATCCTTCTTGCAGAAATCATAATCGTATAGAATATCTTTCAGCCACATATGAAAAACGAAACCATACATTGATGCATTGGACAACTGGTCACTTTTGCCTCGGTGAACAGAACGCTGAGAAAATTTAACTCTGTGCATAAAATTAAATGAATATGCCGGCTGAGTTATCGAGAAAACAATTTCACTTCGGACTTCTCCTGAGATTTACAGATGAGACTCACTGTACCGGTCCAACGATCGGATTACTAAGTATCCCAGACATAAAAATTTTATATTGAAAAGTAGCCCTTGACCAACGACAGTGCGAAGATATAAAAGCAAGATGCAAGTACCTCAGAAATCGGAGGACATTTTCGACATTTTTTAAAAAATCCGAAAATCTTTCCACCATTTTTCGAAAACTGGGCGGGAAATCTCCCCACGCCCCCCTTCGGTCTCGCCGATCCCTCTTGACCTTCCCCTGCACCCAACGGTGTGCCATGCAAATTCTGGCAGCTTTAGCCCTTACAGCAACTGAATGCATAGAGAACAAACAAACGTACAAATGGAAACTCGGTGTTTCTTCCGAACAACTTCATCCTTTTTCCGAGATAAATCGAACCTCCTTGACGAGAACTTGATACTTCTTCCTGGAGACACCCGATATTTCTTCACAAGAACTTCATCTTTTCTCCTCGGAAACTCGGTGTTTCTCCAGAGGAACTTCATCTTTTTTCAGAGGTAAATCGAGCTTACTTGACGAGAACTTGACACCTTTTCCTGGAGAACTCGGTGCCTCCTCGGAAGAAGTTGATCGTTTTGCTGGGGAAAGTCGAAATAACTTGAGGAGAACTTGATACTTTGTCCTGGAGAGACCCGATATTACTACCGAACAATATCCGATTTGATATTTTAATTGTGCTCGCTTTTTCAATATAATATTCATTTACACTTAAAAAAATTGATTAGATAATACGATGTGCTATTTGATCATAATCTTGCTGGACGAAAATAACCTTCTTCAATTTGCATATATAAAATGTCTTCAGGCCTACTTTCATACAATTTAATTGAATCGTACTCAATAACTTTTACAAATTGAATTCGATCACAATCATATAAAAAAACAGCATATGGTCTATCGTAAAGAGGACGAGATTAAATGTATTGAGTCAGTAGTCATCAGTCCACTTTTTAAATTTTTATTCAAACGTATATCGATAAAGAGTTCAATTTTAGACAGCTAAAATTTTTTTAGACCGTTGAAATGACGTATACTTTCAGTATCTATTGAGGTGTAGTAATGGAAAAGCTATTTTTGTGAAAAAGAAAAAATCTGTCAAATAATGTCTTCCATAATGTCAGTCAAGAAACGAATAAATGATGATC